TTTTTTTTGTTAATTTGCTCTGTATGATTCTCTATCTCCTAGAATTTTAATTTCAATTTGCTTACTTTTTCTTAAGCAGTTTCTTGCATGATACGGCTTTTGAAATGTACGATTCAGTACGGACTGTACTTATTTCGCCATTCGAACGACATTTGGAGATGTTCAAGAGTTACCTTGACTTTTTTTACGTCAGTGAATTTGACTTGTCACACATTGCCACAAAATACTTTCCAATTCTTATTTGTATCTGGTAAACTTTTTAGAGATTTTAATTTACTTAGTCGTCAATCCGAAATAAATTGTCTTAGTCGTGTATTTTTAAACCGTCGCTGTGAAAGGTGAATTGCTTTTGGAAAACCGAGATCAAGTGGCTTTTTTTTAATATTTAATTGGAAATTAAGCGATGATAAAGCCGGATTTGAATCAAGGTTTTAGCTACAAATTTGTTGATTCTTATAAATTAAAATTTTTTCTAAATGAAAGAATTAAATAATCACATCTTTGCAAGAGGTGCTATGCTAATGTGTTATTTTATTTTCTGCGCTCTGTTGTTGTTTCTGATTCGATTTACAATTCCTTAACATCACTTGCTTGAAAAGTGTGGTTAATTTGGTTACAATCTAATACTATAAAGTGCATTTGAGCGTCTCTTTGTCACAAATTGTTGGGTTTTATTGTGATACGTAACAGGAAATTTTGCCTTGGATAATGCAGGGTAAACGAAAGCAATTTAACTCTGTCAAAAATGAATATTATTTCTACTTGACTGCTGCCTTTCATAGCTAGCTTTTACTAATTTTAGGTAAACCTGATACTCATTCAGCTTAGTTTATGGCTAGTTAACTAAGGTTTTCAATATTTAAAATACGAATGAGACTTTGAACTACAAAATTTCTGTAAAAGTTCCTTTTCTTTTTTTTGAATTTTGGCATTTGATTTTGGCATTCAAAGATGATGGCAGACAGTGCATTGTAGCATGTATTGTAGCCTGCCTTGATTTCGACTTGACTATTCAGTCTTGAATTAGTTGCGCAATGACATTCTTTTTGTTGCAGCTTCAGTTCTGACCTTGTTGGCCTGAGGTGAAAAATTCTTTACATTATGAAACATTCACTACGTCCACTCACCTCTTCAGCTTTAGCTTTTTTAAAAAAGCTCAAAGCTTTTCTACTTTCGTGTACTTCAAAAAGTAGCTTAGCAGAACTTTTGAAACTTTTGGCTCTCAGTTTCTGATTTCTGAGTTTTTACCGTGTCCTTTCAACTCTAGAAACGGTTCATACAACATTAGTTTTTATTCGCCACCACCTATCGTCTTAGTATTGTTTTTTTGCAGAATGAAGTTTTTTGACCTGCTTATTGGCTAAAAGTATTAAAGATAGAGATGAGAATTTTTTAGAGCATAAAATTAAATGCAAAAGGTTTTAAAAAAATTTGATGTAAAAACTTCTGACCATGTTTAGCAGTTAATTCTTCCTTCTGACAGCGTAACTGTAACGCAGCATAACCCGCTTCATCAAAGGTACCAAAAATACACAGATATTGGTGTCATCATGAGGTTTGAAGGTCACAGCGTAACCAGCGACGGGACTACTAAACAGCTACAAGCTGATCTAATTTAAATTACATAAGGTCTTTTGTAGTTTTAAATTCCGTATCCTTAGCGACTAGTTGCACACCGCCTTTTTTGGCTTTGTTAAAAATTGACGGAACAGGACAGACATTATGATAAAAGAATAACTAATCCTTTAGCACTTTTTTTGCCTATTAATTTTTTTGCTCTAATATTAATGACGTAAAATAAGCTGTTTCCAAACGCTTATCTTTTGTATCTTTGATAAGTTTAAGTTTTCTCTGTTGTAACTCACCTTCAGTTTATGTTTTTATTTTCTTCTCTTTCGCTAAATTTTATTTTTTATAAACGTCGTACTAACTTCCTAAAACACTTGTCTGTTTTTGATTTTTAATTGTACTTAAGCCAGATTAATCAGTAGACAGTCTACCGTCTACAAGAACACAATGCTGAAGTGATGAATTTCTTACACGTTACTTTTACAAGGTACTCTAATAAAGTACGAGGTGGTACTGCATTCTTTCAAACACAAATACCCCGTTGCAAAGACTTTTTAGCCCAGATAAACCTTTATTTGAAATGGAAAAAGACAGATAGGCTTCTTACAGGAGATATTAATATCTGCCAGTGTTCATCTAAGTAGCCCTTGCCAGAGGTGAAATAGAAATTTTAAAGATGATCAGCACAAAAATTTGTAGTTTGTATTTTTTTGTAAAAGTAACTTTTTACTAATAAAGCATTATTTCTGCTATGATCAAATCAGAAGGTTGCGCGGTCTTTGTTCGTAACCACATCAAAGCAGTTTGGTTATATGGTCTCTGAAACTATTTCTGTTGTCACTGAACTGTTTTCATCGCAATTCTTTCTGCAGAACTACTATTTATTTTTTCTTTCTTTTCTTTTGGTTAGCGGTTTAGTATTATTTGTACTCATTCTTATCTGTAAGAGTCAGATTGTTTCGTGAAGTTTTTTACTTTGATAGGAGACATTGTTGAGTACTTTTTGTAACAATATTTCAACAATTTTTTAGGACATGAAGGGAATTACGAACAGACTCTGAGCATAAGTTGAATTTGAAGCATTACTTAGCTGGTTCTGAGTTTTGCTTAAAAATATCTTTCAGTTGCTGTAAACTAGTATTATCTTTGTATAAATTCTATTCTATACACTAGTATTTTACTACATCGAAGCCGCAGTGAAGTACAGTTTACGTGAGAAAACACAGCAGCAAAAGAAAAAAGTTTTTGTTCAGAATTTCTTGATTTAAAAAAATTTATTTAGAAAAACCGGTTGTACAGTCAAAGAGAGGTCAAAAGAACAGGAAGAAAGAAATAAGGTAGTACAGAAGAGTTAAAATCAAAATTTGGCTATCAACTCCGGCATTTGTTTTTTAAAAAAATTTTCACTTATCACAGTCTTACCGTATCTTTTAGGTTTTTTGTTGCAATGAGCCGTTCGAAAGTTCAACCGAAAAGGTGAGATATTTTTTGGGATAACTGCAAATAGAAAACTACAGACATCAATTATAATTTACAGTTTTATCTTCAAATAAAATATCTGGTTATTTTAGGGAATCGTTGGGCAGGAAACGAACTCGAAGTTCTATTTGTCCTGCTGAAAGAAATCGGCAAATTCTGAAAAGGGCGAAACGTTTAGTGTAAACTTTTTGATTGCTTGCTTAGCTTTGCTGTTATTTCTTGTTTCTTACTGGAAAGCATTAGCATTTAGTTCAAGAATGAAGACGATATTCTGTATAAATCGTAAAAGTGTTCGTGCTGCACAACCACCTAACAAACTCGTTGATCGTGCAACAGAACCAGAGTTAGGCTTAAAAGATCCCAAAGAAAAGAATTTTGTTGAGCCCGAGGCTGAAGAAGAAAAGACGGTTGTAACGCCAATGCCTTTTACAACAAACGAAGCAAATACTGTGGCAATTCTATCCTCATCTACAGAACGCCCACACGTTGGTATTTTCCAATATAGCAGTTTACCAGTTAGACATTTCTTTAACACTTTATCATCATCTTGCGTTTCCGTGTAATATACTGATATCTAAAACCCAAACCGAGCAAACAACGTATCCCGCAAATTTTCTAATTTTTCATGCTTTTTAAATTAAGGGGAAATCTGTTCGTTTTGCCGACCATATTTTATCGAGGACTGCAAATTCAACCACCAGTGACCAGTTTAAATATCAGGTATTAGTTAATAGTTGACTATTACTTCTCCCACAATGCATATTCTAAAGCAAAAATTTTGAGTACCTTTTTTAGAGTGAACAGTCCCGACTTTTATGCAGCATTCCTGATGCGCGGATTACAGATATTCTTTGTTCGCTTTCACCAGCTACGCTTAACCATCTAATTGATGTAATTGAAAAGATTGAAATTGTTGAACGTCGAGGTGGAAAGCTGTTGCCAAACCTTAAAAATTAAAAGGGTAAATTTTTTGTTAGAGTCTTATCATTTTTGTTAATTATGGAGAAATATTTTTGTCAAATTAACTCTTTAAACGATTTCACTTAACAGTTTTATTATAAGGGCGGTTTCTGAATTCATCTGTGAGCTATCCCAATCTTCATTTTGATGCGTCATCTAACAATTTTTGGGTGAGAAGTGCCAATTTGAGACGGTAGTTCCTGGAAGATTTTAAAAGATGTCAATTACCGACAAGCAATTTTTTTCAGACTGATACATTATATATTAAGAATTGATTTTTTTAATTCTTATTTTTAACCTAGCTGTCATTAATGTCTAAAAATTTCTGAAACTATTTATATATCTAGCAAGTGGATATAATCAGTAGACTCTACAAGATGTTGATTTCTTACTGTGAAGTTGCAGATGTTAAATTTTCTAGTGTAATCTTCAAATTCTTAGTAAGTTATATACTGCGAACAGCAATGTTTTAACATTTTTTTTGACTGTGGCCGAACATTACGGTATCTGATATTTCACTTTTGTGATCTTCATTAAACGGTTTAAAGAATGTTAGAATTTCGTTACTTCTACTGTACTTCTAATCGGCTTAGTGCTTCTTCTGCTTCAGTTTCTAACTTTGTTGCTATTCTTTTCCCTACTTGTGGTTAAAAAAATTTTGCCGAACAGAATTAAGAAAAGCTTCTTCATAAATATCGTAATTGGCACTTCATTTGTCATAAAAAAAGCTAAGTTTCTTATTTTCATTCTGTTGTTGACGAATATCTGATTTGTTCAACGCGATAATACTGCTACTAATGTTTGATGCAAAATTAGTTGCTAAGGACTTTACCAATGCTTGACGAAGACATTTAGGAAATATTAAACGTAGTTCTTAAATTACAACTAACTTTCCTCTTTGTGTCCGTGCTGCCGGCTCAATAAATCATCCCAACCAGCAAGGGCTAATTGCTTCACAGTAATATAGAAAACAACTAACAATTATAAACCAACAGGAAGCCACTTTTGGAGGTTGCTTTATTTAATCGTGCATCTATTAATAAGCTCGATTTTTTCTTCAGGCGGCAAACATTTGAAACATTTTAGTGCTATCCCGCATAGTTCTACGAGCCAGTCCTTACGAGAAAGACTTCACAAGCGCTTCAAGCCCTATACGGTGCAAACGTTCAATGTCGTAAAAGTGGTTTTAAAGGTCGGATCAGACGTTGGTAGAGAGCTGGGAGGGCCTTCAAATTCAAATAAGAAACTAAACAGTGTTACTGTACATTTCAAGTCGCAACAGCTGATAATGACGCTTTAAATGTGAATACTTAGAAGTTTCAAGACTAGCTGAAAAAAAGATGCAATTTTTTGGTAGTTCTGACATCCAAAACACTATTCTCTTGAGATCTACTTGTTTACCCGCACAGAAAATAACTATTCTGCTGTTAACTTATGGCACTTTCTCAGTATCCGCTGGTCAACAAAGAGCGTTTACACGATGTTTAAGTAAAAAAACCTCAATAATTAAAAGAGGAACTATTCTTCCACTCAGAAAACAAATTTCTCCTCACAGTTATCTTTCATTCTGGTTCTTCTTCTTATCTTCTTGAATTCCACCTCTGTTAACATTTTTTTCTCATTTAACAGAAAGTCGCACGTAAGCAATGTATCCTCAAATTATCACTATGGATGGAAATCCAGCTAGGTGGTAAATGCAGAGATGTGTGACAGAGCTTCAAATGCGGGACAGTTGAGGAGTTTTCTTGCAGTACACATTGCCATTATTTTCTATCTGGCTATTTTTAACAAAAACGATCAACAGGTTGCAATTTTACATCTCTTGACGCTAAAAATACCTTTAGAAATCCTTAACATAAGCAGCATTCTCGACCCACCTTCGCTACAAGTTTTAAAAAACACAACACTGCTTAACTTAAAAAACTGAAAAAGACGTCATGACTTTATCGTATTGTGGCCGTAAGCATAACATCCCACTCATGACTGATCAAGTAAGATTAAGTAAACAGTCAACTGGTTCATGATTACCAGGAACATAATAACAACTCTGAAAACAAAAAGGCATAAACGAAGAAAATTCGGAGAAAATGTTTTGCTAATTTTATTTACAAAATGATTCTGATTTTTCTGCTCTGTTCCTGAGTTCTTATTTGGTATCCGTCTTGTCTACTGAGCGGCAAGTAGTCATTACTTATCGTTCTAATTTTCTGAAAAGAAGCTTTCTTAGTACATTTGACAGTATACAGACAAATCTACCTGTACTCTGGCATACAATACGGTGGTCCCACAGGTGCGGAATGCACCTGCAGTTTGAACTTCTGAGCTTGATGTGGTTTTTTTCTTTTGGCCTTAAACAGTAGTACTACCCAATCTGTAGCTAGAAAAACCTTCGAATAATTCTGCAGTTTATAGAGTAATGTGCAAATCGTCCTATGATGGCTTCTAAAGTGAAGTGCATGGCTGCAGACCTTTTGTGGGATACAACAGATTACTGCTACTGCATGTTTGACTGTTTTCGGTAGCGTACAACCGACATGTTGTAGTTGCAAAATGCATAATTCTCAGAGAATCTGGCAGAAGTGCTTACAACACTTGGGATTCCCAAGCCGTCTCCGATCCAAGTACTGACCAGGCCAAACGTTGCTTAACTTGACAGATCGGACGAGATGTCGTGTTTTTAACGCGGTATGGCCGTAAGCAATTTTAACTAGTGCTGAAAGTGTTTAAAAAACTGGAATCCTACTATCCGTACAATGTGCATTATTCAATT